GAGGGCACCAAGGATTGTTTTCCAATAATTATGCTATTGTTGTGAAGACAATTAAGTTGGTATTAAAATGCAGACGTGGTGAATGAAACGAGTCCCGAAATACCCCTACTCATATAGTAAGATGGGCGCCCTCGTGTCATTATCGGCAAATATGTTTCCCAGGGATCCTGAACTGAGTCTTCTGAATTTGGAAATATTATAATCTTGATTTTCGATATAAATACTTTTATTACTTTTTTTCGTCTGTTCTCTGAACGATGGGAAGGGGTAATTATTTGTCTATACAATTAGTTTTCAGACACTATATGCACAATACAAAATAAAACAAGATAAAGTAAGGGCTTAAGCTCAGTTTTCTATTAAAATTATTTGCTTTTTGGTCAAGGGGACACGCACTAGCGTAGTTGGTTGAGGCACTATGATACAAGTCGGAAGCTTGCGGGATCGAATCCCGATGAGGTGGATTTTTTTCAATTTACCTAACCCTTCCAGCCACACTATGACCCTGGGGTCAACTCAGACTCTAACAGAAATGAGTATCAGGAATATTATTGGAATGTTTTAGGGGTAAATGGCGGCCGACGCGTAGTGCTGACAACCTCACCGCCATCTGTGGGCCGATTGTCTAGAAAATGGGGGAGTCTCAACATCTCACAACCCTTTGGGCCTCCACGGCCTGTTACAGGGGTACCTTTACTTTTTAAAAATATATTTCGGAACTTTATTGATGACTGACCGAAACTGGTACCTCCGTTTTTTGATGTGCTGAAGTGTCTCTGCACATCAGTGCTATCTTATTACAAAAATTGATCACGTATTGCAATTCCGAAAGTATCGAAATATGAGAATTAGGGAGGTAAGGCAGCAGTTCCGCAATTAAGGCAGTTCGAGATCGCAATGCGACCTGTTGACTACATCATGCTCCTTTCGCTTAATTATGATTTATGCAATTCCTGACCACGAACCGGAAGTTAAGTTTTGTGTCGAAATGTGTGAATTTCTGCAACTCCACCCACAGCACACGCAATGCAGTCAGATCTTATCTCGCCTGACTCATGACGTCAGAACTCGCAATTAATTCAGACATTTCCACGGCAACAACCAAACGCTTTCTGCTGGAGGCTTTATAGTAAACCTACTGCCGGTTCTGAGTAGCCCATGTGGAGGCGGTTTCGAATACCTTCACCGTAACACTGCCAGTCGTAGGAGGTGACGAAAGGGAACCCATTGCCTGGACGTATAACTGCGCCACCCTGTTCCTGGGGGATAAAAATACGGGGAGATGGCCCTCCAGGTTGGGGGAATCTCGAAACTGAGGCAATAAATATGGCCATGAGTCCCGCGGGACTGGAACTTGAGAATGACTACGCTGGCAAGGGCCAGAAGCAATTTTAATTACTTGAAGAGGCTTTGAAATGAATGTACAAAATATTTCCACCGTAGGTTCGTGTTTCTTATGCTTGATTATGTTCTAAAAGTAAAATGATACGGTTTCCTTGTGCTTAACTAATTAAGCACTATGCCATGAAAATGTATGGGGGAGTGTACGTATAGATCCACGTATTATTGACCTTGACACTACTTGGAGGTGAGTGATCTCCACGCCCCAGCCGCTTTACCACCGAGAAAAAGGCCCCCGGTACCCAATGGATAGGAGGCTGGGTGGGCCCCAGAACCGGTCTGGACGACATGGAGAAAACAAAAATCTTGTCCCTACAGGGATTCCAACTCCGACTCCTCGACAGTCCCGGCTCCCTGATTATCTTCTAAGTGCCTCATCCATAACCTGTCATCATTTTTATTTGTTAGCATACAGGCACGTTCTATGATTCTGTGCGCATTTAACATTCCACCCGTCCGTCTGCTCATGTGTTCTGTTTGTCGCTCTGAAACTGTAAAATAAGTGTTTCTTGCACCGAATTCGGTGTATTCTACGTTACAAATTGTATCGTCTATTATCAAAATTAAATCGCTTAAGAAACAAAAAAGCGTAAAACATGTTAATTTCTTACAATAACTGCTGCAGAAATTAATCTTCTCAAATGGACATCATAGCTATTAAAATTTTGACAGCATATTCGTTAAAATTTTGTAACCAACAGACCGTGTACCATCTCCTGCAAGCCAACTTGCTGAAAGGTTATTGCTTTGTCAGGGCCGCCCACTCACAAAATGGGCACCTAAAAAAAATTTTCCACTAAATGAACATTTTTCTGCCCAGTGAAATTTTTAGCAGTTCAGTGAACATTTTTCTGCTCAGTGAGCTGAACATGATTGCAGGCCATATTTGTCACATGACCTGCTGTATTATTCATCATTAACTGAAAGGTCAACTGTTATATACTGCTCTTGCCGCACTCAGAATATTTTCTCCTTGGTATTATAATGAACGTATCGATATGGGGCTTAGAGCTTCAGCCTTACATTCTGGTTGTTCCAGGGGCGAATTCCGGACCAGGCACCTGCTTTCCTGACTGTTTCCTATCGGCGATGTCCTTAAGTTTCTCCACGCTGCTTCCTTTCGTTTCGCCTTACATAATCGTCCTAATATCACTTGTTACACGAACCGCGCAATCTGCAAGGCGCAACTAAGACAAAGACGTTGTTTTTGCTACCTTTACTGACTCCTGTGGTCTAGTGGTTAGAGTTCCTGTCTACAGATCCAGAGGTCCAGGGTTCGATTCCCGGCGCAACCACATTTTCTGAGAAGTAGTGGGACTGGAACGGAGTCCACTCAGCCTCGTGAGGATAATTGAAGACCTATTTGAATGGAAAGTAGCGGCTCCGGTCTATAAAACTGAAATTAAAGGCCGTGGGGATCCGTTGCGCTGACTACGCGACACCCTCCATCCGAAAAATGTTAGCACTAACTCAGCCGACAAACGGTGGTCGCTCGGTCGGTATAGCTCGCTTGCGAACTACAGGCCACGGAGTTTGTTTCGTTTTTTTATTTACTAATTCGAACTGGTGACGTTCCCCTTGGACGTAGATTTAGTGGAACTAAATTCAAAGCATACGCAAACTTACAGTCTTACGCCGTTCCGTATGAAGGCGGGTTCGAATACCTCCACCGTTGTCCTGGGATCCGTAGAAGGCGACGAAAAGGAGACCTGGTACCAGGGGGTATAATTGGGCCACCCCGTCACTGGGGGTCATAAATACAAGATCTGATCCTTTAGTTGGGGGTTCGACCCAAGGCTGATGATATTCATCTGTAAAAAATTATTGTTGCGAAATCCAAAAAAGTGAAACCCGGACGGTTTCCTTCTTCTATGGAAGGCTATGGCTAAACAATGGCTGTGTTGCTATTGATGATGAAGACGATGACAGTCTTACGCCTCAGTTCCTATATAGATAGTAACGACTTAGTTTCAGATATGTTGTAAATTTAGAAGGGCGAAACGTCGGATCTGTGAACATTAGCATGAATTAGAAATTTCATGTCCTCAGATGCTATCAAAGTAATCTTTGGGAAAAACGATATCCTCATTTGCCTGAAGACACCATCGAGATATCTGTGTACTGTGATGCTTGAAAATACGTGTAAGTAGAAAGATCGTATTTTGAGATGTCTGAAGAGGTAATGGTGAGATTGTGTGCTGAGATGCCAGAAGATGTTGAAAATTCGTGTCCTTACATGCCTGAAGGAAAAGTTGCAAGATCCTTGTCGAGAAACTAGAACAGAGTCAGAAGGGGCATGTTCTAAGATTCTTGTGAGGAAAGTGTTCTTTAAACTGAAGATTAAGAGTTCGGGATTTCCAAGTACTCTTCAATTCCAACGGCACCAGAGAGTGACGGGCCCTCCAGACGCGCGGCGCTGCTATTTAAAATCCATTTCGATATTTCGACCGAGCAGGCATCTCTCAATATTATATTTGGGTGATAACCGGTTTGGATCTCTGCCCAGGTTACCACTCATCCTAACCGAAATGTCATAGTCCTCATTAATCTGTCCAGGAGAATGCCATGAGAAGATCTAAAAGTTTCTGACGATGGTACATGAGTACAAATAATATGTTTTTGGACATTATCCACAGTCTTGTCTTTATCTAAAAACCGCCCTGTTTATTTAAAAAAAAATAAAAACCAACGTTTCTGAGAATGGATTCTGTCTCCGTCTTCATGTAAAACCTACTCAGTTGGGCCCAATCGATATAGCTAGTCCCTATCTCCGGACACCAGAGCCAGCTCCAAGATGGAGTACATAATTTTCTTTTTAATAATTTAATGGTTTCTTGCTGACGACCCATTGGTAGGTTGCGGCAATAACTACGTAATCACAATTAATTTAATGCCACTCAATGATACATTAAATATAAATAACATAATGACGGCTTTATTGTTCGCATGCTGTCGAATGTAACGATTTGTCATAACCTGGCCGTCAACTCTACACAACACATATTTCAAAATAAACCAATCTAATTGTTTATACTAATTTTATTCAATAAAAGCGACATGTTTCGGCCCATATTTTGGACCATCCCCAGGTAGTTTTTATTATTTGTGTCTCGTGTTATTGAAATATCCTAATATGGATCCATATTAGCGTTAAATATTATACAAGAAACTAATAATAACATCATGTGCGAATAGTACGGAAAACATGCAAGTAATTTACCTGCACTTCAAGATGTAACGTACAAGTACATATAATCCAAGAACTTAGATAGTAATTGTGTGTTATTTATTGCTTCTTTTAGGTGGTGTTTGCCTTCCGCGGTGTTGTATTTCAGATAAAAACACAACACCGCGGAAGACAAACACCACCTAAAACACGCGAAAAATAACACACAATTTAATGTTCTATCGATGAAGTACGCCGTTGAGGTGGGCTCAGGTGCCATGATATACATTCCAAATTACATAAAGCTTTGTTCAGCCATTCAGAAGTTGAGGATTCACAGGAACATAGACAGCAGGGAGATTGCATAAACCTGCTTAAGTTTTCTTTTTTCAAAATAAGGAAAGTAATGCAGGGTTATACTCTTTTGTTGCAGCGGTTGAGTCCTGCGGAAGTGTTCCAGGAGCTGGAGGAGAACGAAGAGCCATGTTACGGCAAGAAGTGCACGGCGAATGAGCATTGTTGTCCGGGCTCTGTGTGCGTTGACGTGGACGGAAGTGAGTACGAAATGCGAGAAAGTTCATTAAGTCTGACAACTTGAAACAAACACATTTTAAGTCTATTATGCAGTAAAGAGAGTCTCCTTACTGAATCACCTTACTGCTAGGGTTGCACGCGTTGCTTCAAAATAAACATATTGTGGCATGTGGACCCGTTGCTAGGAAACGGCAGCGAAACAAGCAACTATAAAACAGCCACTACGTAATAAAATCTCCGCAAATAAGCACATTTCCATGGCAACGAGAGAATACAACAATAATGGAAGAGACGTTTTCTACGCGATCCGTGCCGAGATGTTATAACCGGGACCAGTTAGCAGTTGCAGCCCGAAGTCCCCCGCATGGAGGCGGGTTCGAATACCTCCACTGTAGGCCTGCGAGTTGTAGGAGGTGACGAAAAGGGAACCTAGTGCCTGTGGGTAGAGCTGGGTCACCCTTTTCCCGGTGGATATGAATTCGGGGACCTGGCCTTCCAGGTTGGTGCAGTCTGCAGTCTGAGACAGTAAAATATAGTCATGAGACCCGTGGGGCTCGAGAATGACTGCACTGGCGAGGACCAGCAGAAATTGTAAACGACGGACCTGTCCTCTCGTCAGAGAGGGCGCTCCACATAAACACATCCGCAACTGTCTCCCAATAATAAAAATCTGGTCTTTGGCTCCAGATGAGTGTTTCAGCCAAGACAGACTGGCCGACTGACCGTCTATCATAACATAACTTTGACTCTGAATTTGAGTAGCAGTCAGAGAACTGCTGGGGTTCGGCTGTTATGAGCCGCTGCTGTGAGAAGTTGGTAGCTGAGGCCAGGGACAGTTTGGGAATCTAGGGGAAAGGGGAACGTCTTCCATTGAAAGCCGCTACCAAGCAACGGCAGTGAAGACATCGCTGTGGATAGTAGTGTGTGCGCATGTGCGTGAGTGCGCGTAATAGTGAACTGTAAAATGTATTCACGAGTGGTATCAAAATGTGCATTACATTGTGTCATCAATCCAAAACCCATATATAGTCACACTCAGTCAATTGACAGTATTTGTGCTTCCAACACACAGTACACTTGCAACCAAAATAACTTGGTGATATCATACATAGGTTACTAGCATATCGTCCACATCAGATAATAAGTGTAGTACTGTGACTCTGTCTCCTGGAATTATTCCCCTTCATTACAGATGCAACAGTTACACCATCAGTTGGACAAATAGAGTCTTGAAGTGCTGGTTATTGGCCTCACAGATCATAAATGCACCACTCTGTGCCTCAGAGTCGGTATAGTGGGTATAGTATATACTATATTGCACACGCACACGCACATGCGTGCACGCGCACACACATTATATACATACATGGGTAGGCCAAGCTGCTGGCCCTTGCACTGCGACATTGTGCATACTCCTGTGTTAACCCTTCAACAGTCCGACACTTCGAATGAAGTGCAAGTTTCTGCTTATAAGGGCGTCATAATAGTCATCTGGTTCCATAAAATAGTGGCCCTGGTGATGAAATCTTAAATATGCTATGGCCTCACACTTGCACAGGATGTATGTGGCTCTTTCAACTTTCGCAAACAGGACTGTCAGTTCCATTTTGAAAGTGTGTCCATTTAGGTGACAGTGTCCTGTAAGTAGTCTTACCACCCATTATGGCTGGTTTCTGATTAAGCTTAGCAGTTCCTTAGTTCTTCTAGCAGAGGGTCCTTGTATGAGACCCTTTACCTGTTTGTGGTCTCTGTTTACCTAGTCCCTGACAGCTTTTTTGGCAATTCCTACTGAGATGCCACAAGCTGGTTCAGGTCCTATGAACGAACATTCAGATCCAAATTTTTTCAGTTCTTTGATCACTGCAATAGATTATACAAATTCCTGCCCTGGCCTCAGCCTCCAGCTGCAAGTGAAGTGGCGGGGAGTCCAATGAGGACCACAACTATAGCTGTTTTCATTGCTCCAGTAATGCCCAAGCAGGCAATTCTTGGCAATTTGCTAAGTTAAACCTTGTCTGTTTTGAATTTGACCCTAGGCTTCCACACAATGGCAGCATAGGTGAGACCCACGTCTTACAACCGTGGTGTACAGCCAGCACACCACCTTTGGTTTCAGTCCTTAAGTTTTCCCAAAACATGACTCTGCACATCCAAAATGCCCTGTAGGCCATACTGGTTACTTTATCCAGCTGCTTTTCCCATGTTAGTCCCTTGTCTAGCATTAGTCCAAGGTACCTGACCTCATTGGATAACTGGTTTGTATTACTGAAGAGGGTTGATTCCAAAAGTCCCCTAATATATGTCTTCCTAGTGAAAGGTATTATCACTGTCTTGTTTGGGTTGATGGACAATTTTGTCCTATTGCACCACTGCTGGACTATGTATAGACCTATTTGTAAGACCTCTGACACAGTCTGAGGGGACTTTCCACTGATTAGGACTGCAATATCATCTGCATATCCTAATGTGTAATAATCATTGTCATTAAGCTCCCAAAGAAGCTCATCCATGACCAGGTGCCACAGCAGAGGTGAGGGTACACCTTTCTCCTCCAGCTGCAGGCTCCATCATGGTTTCTCCCAACAATGTAGTTACTACATTTTTGCTTTTCAGCATATAACTGATGCTCCTGCAAATAATAGGCTCAATGTCATGTCTTTCACCAGCCTGTGTTTTTACATCAGATGAAGTTATACCAAAAATTCCCTCTGTATCAAGGAATGCTCCTAGGGAGATTTTCTAGTATTTCATAGTACTTTCTACATGTGAAGTTTCAGTTTCAGTGGACTTACCAATTTGGTATTCATTTTGGTTTCAGTTTTGCTTTGAGTTTCGTAGCGTACAGACGTGTTCCGAGTGCTCTGACAGTCAAAAGCGCCGCGAAGATAAGTGACTATAAAAAAAAAAAAAAAAACACCGAGTGATAAGTGACAAGAACCAGTGTGTTGCCAGTAGGCAACGGATCAGTTCCAAAACTCAAATCAGCCAACACAATGAGTCAGTCAGTAATGACAAGCAACAATTATTGTGCTCCGCAAAATACACAATCGATTCCTTCAACAAGTTATCAGCAGCAACCACAGCAACAATATAAACAGAAGCCATATAATTGCATGATGACATCAGCTAGTGAAGATGAATCAGACACAGGTACCGTAAATGTAAATGAATGGCAACAAGTGAAAAACAACAAAAGACGAAAAATCAATACAAGACAAACTTATGTCCCAAATACAGATATAAGAATAAGCAATAAATTTAATCCACTGCCAATTGAAGAAAGCGCTAGCCAGGCCAATCCCCAAAAGAAAATTCCAAAACCCCCTCCAATATTTATATATGGGGTAATAAACTATAACGAAATGGTAAACAAATTGACAGAAATTATTGAACAAGAGCAATATTCTACTAAAAGCATGGCAGACAATACTATAAAAATTAATTGTACTACATCCGAAACATACCGGAAACTGGTAGCATTCCTAAAAGGGAACAACATAGTACACCATACATATCAACTCAAGGAGGAGAGAGCGTACAGGGTGGTCATAAAATATTTACACTACTCAGTAAATACAAAAGAAATCGAAAATCAGTTAACAATGATGGGACATAAAGTCAGGAATGTCATCAATGGCAGACACAGAGTTACAAAGCAACCACTGAACATATTCTTTGTTGATTTGGAACCAGCAAGTAACAATAAAGATATTTATAATATTAATATGATACAAAACAAAACAGTTGTAATAGAACCACCACGAAGGAATAAAGGACTAACTCAATGCTTTAGATGTCAGCAGTATGGACATACCAAGACATACTGCAATAGACCATTTGTTTGCGTAAAGTGTGGAGGCCCACATAGTACCGAAAGTTGTAAGAAACCAAACACCACTCCTGCTAAATGCGCCCTATGCGATGGCTCGCATCCAGCAAACTACAAAGGATGTGAATTCTATCACAGCCTCATCAAAACAAATAATGCAAACAACAGACTAAATGTGCAACGAAACTCTATAGTAAACATGCACAATCCCGATCCCCAAGTGAGACCACAAATACCTAAACTAACAACAAACAATGCATACAGAAATGCTAGTTACGCAGAGGTAACACGAGGAATTACACATAACAGCCAGCAAGAAGAAGACACCTCACCCATAACCTTAAACAGATTTCTTGAAGAGTTCAAGAACATGTTCAATCAGCTTATCCAGCAGAATACTATGATACTAAACATGTTATCAACTCTACTAACTAAATCCCACAATGGCTAAGTTTTTAAAAATAGCCCTTTGGAATGCCAACGGTCTACTACAGCATAAAGATGAAATTAAAATATTTCTGGATCACAATGCAATAGACATATTGTTGGTAAGCGAAACCCACTTTACCGACAGAACATATCTCAGGATACCCCATTATAACGCATACTTTACCAATCATCCGGATAACACCGCACACGCAGGCACTGGTATACTTATTAAAAATAACATAAGCCACTATGAATTACCGAAATTTGAAAAAAACTTCCTACAAGCTACAGCAATTAAGGTAAAAATGAAGGCATACGAACTAACAGTAGCTGCGGTGTACTGCCCACCTAGGCATAATATCAAAGAAGAAAGCTTCTACGAATTCTTCCGAACACTGGGAAATAAGTTCATCGCAGGGGGTGATTACAACTGCAAAAACACACAGTGGGGATCTCGCTTGACCACAACCAAAGGTAGAGAGCTGTCGAAAATAATACGAAACCAACAGTACTCATTCCTGTCAACTGGAACCCCTACCTATTGGCCTAGTGACCCAGATAAAATCCCAGATCTTTTGGATTTTTATATTACAAGTGGCATCTCTACATCATATATGGATATAGTCCCTAGTTACGACCTGTCATTGGACCACACACCCGTAATAGCTACCATTAGTACTGAAGTTGTCAATAAAAAAACCATTCCCAGGCTTCATAACAGAAGAACCGACTGGGCTGATTATCGAATGAAAATAGAACAAGCCATTAACTTACACATCAGTCTTAAAACCCCTGATGAACTAGACATAGCCTTGACAAATTTCATTAACATTCTTAAAGAAGCAGCTCTACACGCCACTCCAATTCCGACTACACAAACAAGAAGTATAAATATCCCTACCGAAATCAAAAAGCTTATAGCAGATAAAAGACGGGCTAGGAAGACATGGCAACTAAGTCATGCCCCAGCAGACAGAACTGTGTATAACAGGGCCACCAATAAGCTAAGAGCAGAAATCAAGAAGTCCAGAGAGCTGACACTACACAATTACCTCAGAAACCTCAATCGCTACGACAACTCCATTTGGACACCGGTGAAGTCAACTAAGAAACCTATAGTTCCTGTATCGCCTTTAAAAATCCAGATAGATGGTCGTCCAGATCGATGGGCTCGTAGCGATAAAGAAAAAGCGGAACTCTTCGCAGCACATTTATCGAAAGTCTTTATGCCAAATGCCAGTCATCCTGATCAAGAGATTGAGAACGATATTACCACATTACCGCCAAATATTCCGACAATAAAAATATTCAGCCCAAAAGAAATCAAAGAAGAAATTGGGTTCTTAAATATCAAAAAAGCACCTGGTATTGACAAAATCACACCTAAAATGATGAAAGAGTTGCCAAAAAAGGGATTAGTCATGCTAACATACATCTATAATGCTATGCTAAGACTTAGTATTTGGCCCAAACAATTAAAGACAGCAGAAATTATCTTGATACCAAAACCAGGAAAAGACCCAAAAGAATTATCTTCGTATCGTCCAATAAGCCTACTGTCCATAATAAACAAATTATTTGAGAAGCTTTTACTTCGGAGACTAAATATGGACCTAAAGCCAGATGAATGGATGCCTCCACACCAATTCGGATTTAGGAATCATCACTCTACAATACAACAAACACATAGAATCATCCATAAAATTAATCAAGCATTAGAAGACAAACAGTACTGCACGTCAATATTTATAGACGTAAGCCAAGCCTTTGACAAGGTTTGGCATGATGGACTCCTATTCAAGATAAAAAAGGTGCTTCCTATAAAATACTTTAGACTACTCAAGTCATATCTATCTGACCGAAAATTCCGAACACGAGTTAAGGAGGAGGTATCCAGCAACTTCATCATCCAATCTGGAGTCCCACAAGGGAGCGTTTTAGGCCCGATATTATACGTGCTATTCACAACAGATCTACCAACGACTACTTACACTACAACAGGGACATTTGCTGATGACACGGTCATTCTTGCCAGCCATGATGATCCAGCAACTGCCTCGCAAAGACTACAAAGTCATCTAGACCAAGTAGAAAGTTGGCTAAAAAAGTGGCGAATCCACATTAATGAAACCAAATCTGTACAGGTCACCTTTACAATGAGAAAAGAGCAGTGCCCAGCTGTACACATAAATAATACTGAAATTCCACAATCATCAACAGTAAAGTATCTTGGACTACACCTGGATTCCAGGCTTACTTGGAAGCAGCATATAACCAAAAAAAGGAAACAGGTAGACCTAAAAGTAAAAGACATACATTGGATCATTGGAAGTAAATCCAGCACATCGCTAGATAGTAAAGTACTTCTATACAAGACCATCATAAAGCCTATTTGGACCTATGGAATCGAACTATGGGGATGTGCCAGTAAATCGAACATAGCCATAATGCAAAGAAGGCAGTCCAAAATACTGCGGATGGTCACAAATGCACCATGGTATGTGACTAATCAGACCACATGACGATCTCAATGTACCATTCGTCAAAGAAGTCATCCAAGAAAGAAGCATAAAACATCACGATAAACTAGGACACCATAGCAATATATTACTGCAGCCCCTACTGGAACAACAACAACGAAGAAGGCTAAAGAAATTATGGCCCGCAGATCTACTTGATGGTTAGAGGATCTCTCATTGGAAGAGCCCTCATCACGACACAATAAGCACACGAGGACGGTGTTAAATTAGCAAATTAGCTAAAAGAATGTATTTTATTCTGATTGCTAATAAATATATATAAAAAAAAAAATTTGGTTTCAGTTTAGTTGATGCTGCTTTAGTACACCATCCCTAATGTGTCTATCTGCTAATTTCTCCGTTGTCTTCAAAAGAAAAGATGACGGGCTGATAGCACAATAAGCCCTAGCCTCAGTGAAGTCAGATTTCCCAGGCTTTGGAATAAATGTCACTCCAGCCTGCCTCCAGGCCATAGGAAAAAATGCATATGCCATGCAGGTTCTAAATACATGGCAAAGGTATGGAACTAACTGTTCTGCCCCTTGCTGCAAAAGTGCTGGTAACATTTTATCTATTCCTGCTGATTTAAATTGTTGCAATATGCCTAGCACCCACCTAATTTCTGATTGACTGATTGATTACATTTCTGACCAGATGACAGTCTCCCCTGTTTGCTGTGTATTTGCTTACTTCCAGGTTCAGCTGTCCCTGTCCATCATTTGAAACATCAATCACTACTAAGTCTGGAAAGTGAACTCTGAATAACTCTTTCACAGTCTCCCCCCCCCNTAGTAACCATCAGGTAGCTTGATAGTTCTGACCATGTTGGTGGCCTCTTTTGCCATTATCTTCATGAGTCTTGCACTTCTTGGTACAACAGTGGTCTCCTGGCAGTACCTCCTTAATGAAGACAATTTGGTTTTCCTAATTTCTTTGTTGTAACAGGTGAGGGTTCTATTATAGGTATTCCACTGACTTGTCCTTTTAGCTACATTAAATAGCCTTCATGTTTTTGACTGTCAGCCCACTCAGCTTTTTATTCCTCCAAGATGCCTTTCTTGGTGAGTGAGTGGTCTTATCTGGACTGGTGGTTTGAGAGGACATAATGATGGCCTGTTGCAATTGGTCACCAGCCAGACCTGTATCTCTTATCATGCATACATTTCACGAAATGGTCTTAAGATTTACCCTTAGGCGATCTTTGTAAGGATCTCCTTGGAGGGCAGTCCTTCTTTTTAAGTCCTGTGGACCTGGGCTTTTACCTCTGGTAGCCACCAGTCCCATGATTATTGGGGATTTACAAGATCACCACCCACAGCACCCTATATTGTGGAAGGTGTAAATAAAATGGGGCACTGCCCCGTGCCCTGATGGGACTGTTAATGACACTGGCTAGATTCTACTCTAGCCAAGCAGCCCTTGGCACGATGCCTCACACCGTGGCTTAGGTTTACCATTACCATGTCCACCATCTTTTCAGATGTTACCCCTTCTGTGATGACACAAGGGTTGGCTTTTGGAGGGGTAATGTGTATTATAACCTCTGGAAAGGAAAACGTGAAACAAGATTTCTTGTCATCAGTCTGTATTGGGTATGTAGCAAAAAAACTGCTCTGGACTCCATGACTTTGAATTTTGCTGTTGTAGTAGTGGGATCCTGCTTGTTCTCATATGGACAGAAGCAGGGTGAGCTGTGTCGAAGAGACAATGATTGCGAGACAGGGCTGCTCTGCACCGAGGTTGCTGGGGATGGTCGTACTTGCCAACCGCCCACGTCCAATAAGAAGCAGTATAGTAAGTATTAGCCTTTGTAACACAGGTCTCAACCTGCTATTTGTATTTATTACTTTGAAATACAGGTGTTATTTACACCGCTGGGAAAGAATTTCATGCTGAGCATGCCTGGACATTATATTTATATTATCAAAGGTTACTGAAGCATTGTATTTCTCCTCTTTATTTGACAGAAACTCTTGCTTCACTGACTTGCATTCTTGTGGTTATTCTGGGTGTGAAATATTGCATGCCGAGGAGTTCTGGGTAGGAATTGTGCAACCTGCTTTCCTATTGTAGGCTTGCAGTCTCATAAAACTTGTGTTCTTAATATCTTATTTAGGTAATGTAAATTTATAACTGAACAACTAAATGCATATTTTGCTCATCGGCTATCGGACTCTTGTGCAGATGGCTCTACTATTGACCCCTAGTCAACATTTTTTTTTTTTTTTTTTTTGCAGCTGTGAATGTATTGCAAATTATCAGCACACTTCAAAGATGAAATTTATCAGCAAAGTGGTTACATATACATCAAAGAACCAAATTTTTCTCCATCTCCTTACCAAATCTCACATACCTAGCTCTAATGACTTATTAGTTACTGTCATTAAATATTTTATTTTATACTATGCAACACAAAATTACAGGAACAAAGGTTATATATGTTTCAAGGACCTATGTGCCTAAAACTAAACTAAATTAAACTCCATGGCTTTTAGTCCGCAAGTGAACTATACCGACCAAGCAACCGCCATTTGTCGGCGAAGTTACTGCCAACTTTTGCAGATAGAAGCTGTTCCATGGTCAGCGTAACGAATTCCCATGGCCGTTGATCCGTTTTCTAGGCCGGAGGACCTATATGCCTACCATATATAATTTTGATACCCTCAATTAAGTGTCTCTCCTAGCTCATAAGTTCATGCATCCATAGGGCATGTTCCAAAATGTAGAACTGTGGGTTTCAGGACACACATCATTCAGCAAGCTGATAATGGCCAGAAAGTTCCAAACACGTCCTTTATATTTATATTCTGAACATTCTAACACTGTGTCTTGAAAGTAAAATTAAACAATTTTTTGTTCCTTTGCATTCTTTTTTCTCTCTGATGTATCAATAGATCTAGGATAATATCCAAAACATTACTTAGAGCTCTGAAATCGTGATAGTCTATACATTTTTATTTGGACTAACCCACAATTTTTATAGTTTCAATGTCTTTAAACTGTTAATCCTGGAAATATTGTATAATGATTGGCTAGAAAACGAAGAGACCAATATATCAATGGGCATATACTTCATTATATTGTATGAAGTGTATAATCACAGAACAGTAGCTACAGACTCCCTCGTATGTTCAGCCTTTCAGTGTCACAATGTGCCATGCATTCAGCAAGGTTAAATATGAGATATACAACCTTATCAAAATGTCGCTGTCTCTACTTGTTGCAGGTGAAGATTGTACCATGAGCAGTGAGTGTGATATTGGGAAGGGACTGTGCTGTCAGCTGCAGCGGCGCCACAGACAGGCACCTCGGAAAGTAAGCTCTTTCCTAGTCTCATACAGACTTGTCCTTGATCTCATAAAATTGTCCTTTTTCTTACTTATACTTATCACGGGCCTCTCCCTTTGCAGGTATGCTCCTACTTCAAAGACCCACTGATCTGCATCGGTCCAGTGGCCACTGATCAGGTGAAGGACAACAATATAGAACACACAGCAGGCGAGAAGCGCCTCACTGGCAAAGTCACATCTATGAACGCCTTCAACCATCTGCGTCGCCGCAAGTAGGCCTACCACACCTCCGTTTCTTAAGACACAAAGCCAGGCAGGCAGGTACTAAGATGAATTATATTTTAACAGTTGTTAAGAGTCTATATCTTGTATTTGTGTCTAACCCCTCATATCAGCCACAAGCAATATCAACTTGTGAGAATAAATTCTTTATATAAAAGAGACTTCTGGTGTGCACACAACAGTTTTTTTTAGTATCTCAACATCAATCAATTTCATAAACAGAGAAAACGGCCTTACATTATACAATGTGGTGGTACATGAGCTCTACCTTTCACGCACTGAGGGCAGAAGCCGTCTTAATTCTCTGGTCGCTCAAGACGTTTCAATGATTAGGGATTTAAGGATAAATTGAGAAAAGCCCTTCTGCTGCAGAATGTAAACTTGTGCTTGGACAGAAAAATGTCAATATATTCATAAAGTATTGAAAAATGCTGGCACATATACACCTACTTAGAGACAGAATAGGGAAACTACTTTTCATTATCCATGACAGTCCATCAGACACTAATGAGATGAATGCTTCATTTTACCATAAATGGCTTCTTTTCATTTAAGCTTCAGGGTTATTGCAACCTACAGGTTTTCTTTCTGTGCAGTTACTGTCCCACTTCTATCTTTCTGTTACATTACAGATCCAGTAAGGCCAGCATAAAATCCTTCATCCATGAAAATGAATATATTCCAGAAGCTATTAAAAAGCTCAATGGACCATATGGCTAATAATGCAGAACTGAACATATTACAGTCCAGAAACTACCAGCTTTTTAACTATTAATTGACTTATCCACTAAAGAAGTCACTTTTTCAAACAGAAAATGTGAACTTTTCAATTCCAGTGTCTTTAACTTTTCTTGTGATACACTGGAAAATTTCAGAACAGGTGCACAAAAAAATCTATAACTGTCAATAAATTTAATATATGCCAGGAAATAATAAACTTTTCCTGATACATCTTCACTCCCGCAAAAAAATGAAGTAATAACAGGTAACATTGAAACCAAAAGTGCAAGAATAACTTCCAGCCAGCTGGAATTCCACACTTTTCGTTTGTGTACCACATATCAGCATTAGAACTAGAAATTCAGGCTAAATATAGACCATTTTACGGAGTTAAATACCACCAGTTACTGGCTGAGGCAAAGCATTCTATACCTTGTAACAATACTTGTTCCTAAATGTTCATCCTGCATGTTGTGATTCAGTGTTTTCCTGTGTACTGAAGAGGGAACTTTCTTCTATTCTAATTCTGTCAGAGTGTGACAACTTGTGGATGAGAGGGAGGTGCGCATTTAGTTAGCCCAACATTGTAGCAACAGCCTCTCTCATCCAACATCTGAAGCTAAACATATCACAGACAATGCATTGATTTTATAGTATAAAAAATAAAAGCGCCAAAAAAGATGTTTTGAAATCCAAACATATCAAAACGTTTGAGAATGTGACGTACAACAGACATATCAGCATACATAGAAGCTAAGTTTATTGTCTCTGTATTTTAAAAGAATATATATATATATACTGTTTTAAACATTTTCTCTTAGTGTTGTAATATAATGTTGTTGACTGCATACAAACATACAGATTGGGCAAACATTGTACTCTTTTATGTATGTTGTACACAAATATAATGATGTAATTATAATGTATTCTAGAAATTTCAGCAAACTTGCAACTGTGTTCTTATTTCCCATCATAAATGTATTCTACTGGACCAGCTTCATACAAGTAGTCACAGGTATGAGCCATAAAATAATATTCTTTACTTATTCACAGCAACAGTTTACATCAAAATAAAGCAATATATTCTTATTATTAAGTTTCCAAGGCCAGTTACTAACACATAAGATCAGCTTTTGGGATTAAGCCATATGGTTTCTTGCCATCTTTCCATTCTTTCAACAAGCCCTGCAGTTGTCATTTTCATGAAAGTGACTGATATATTCTTGTTCCTAAGTTTCTGCAGCTGGTGTCTTATGTGTAAGATTGTTTTTTGGTTTATAATTATAACTAGTTTATACAACTATTACTGTACTGATAGCATTTATTCTCCAATTTTATGGAACCTAACCTGAAGAAAAATTGAAATACTCAGTGCTGATGACACCAACTAATGTTCAACAAAACCTTAATACTGGCCTTCATTTACTGGTTTCGGTATGTATTGCCATGTTAAGCCAAACCCTGCCCAGAAATTTCTAAATAATAACAAATTATACTAAAAATGGTATATTTAAATTCAGTTTTTGAGTACCTGCACTATTAACAATATAAACAAAAAATACATGTGTCTATGTAGCATGTATCTAATGGATCACCATGAACTCAAATGAATAACTACTTTCAGTAGAGGCATCTAACTGAAAACTTCATTCAGTTTAGTTGCATATCTTGGGAGAAAGAACATAGAATACGCAAATATAATTCTCCAACCATACCTGACAAATATCTAGGATTCATATTAGACAGAAAAGCACTTTTTGGATCACATGTACATATTATGCTGAAGAAAACATACGGGTCAGATTTTTTCAATTACAAATTGAAGTTCAGGTGTTGTATGAGGGGTAGGCCTTCTCAGCCCTTGCACCACGACCTACAGTAGTCTATTGTGCTTAAGTTCAGGGCTGCATTACATGTCTTCAACTATACCAAAATTAATGCCTGAAAATCATCTTAAGTGTCAAGAATGAGGGCCACAAAACATTATACAGGGACCTAAAGATAGGTACCATTTTGGCCATGTAAATGTGTGTCCAAAAACCAGAAGGTCTCAATTCAACAGTATGTACTGAAAGCATCATTAAATAATCTACAAAAGGGAAAGTATGATACAAACGCAAACAGGTATAGTCACTTGGTGCTTTCAGTATTGCGACTACATACAGACAAATATAAAAGACCCAACAAATACATACATACTCCAGCTAAATAGATGATTACCTGTAATCCCAATCTACAATCTAAAACACACCACAGCTATTCAGCATCTGAAAATCTTCAAAATGCATCTGTTCAGGGTTATTATAAACAATGTCTCTTAATTATATTCATAAACCAAAATTGGTATGTTAATAAATAAAAACAAAGGAACTTTCAGCTGGGTTTTCTCTTCTCAATCACCCTGCAGTTCAACTCAACCTGTCAGGCTGTACTCCTGATGTTTTCTGTGACCTTCCAAAGGCTTAGAACAAATGCCAGATTGCTCCCCTTTGTTCAAAAGTAACTGAAACAGCCCTCCACATCATGAATGGTAATTCTTTTAGCACATGTGAATATATCAATGGTTCACAGCACAAATACTGAATGTGCACTTTTTGTCAGTGTTTTCTTGTGCCCTTGCCTGTTAAACATGCAACCTTTGAAGGGTTCTGGGATATCGAAGCATGTAGTCCAATTAAAATTGACATTCTGAAGAAACACTGCATCATTCTGAGGAAAGCAAGTCAAGAAAGACGCCTTCATTAAGCAGGCAGCAAGCAATGTGATCAGACTACACGGTGTTATATCCCAGAAGGTAGACCATTTCAAAACCACTGGTGGAAAAATTTCAAACCCTACATATGCAATCTTGTTCTGCAGCAATATTGTAACTTACAACAGTGATGGGGGAAAGATTAAGAAACACTGCCACACAAGAATGCTCTGTTGATCTACCTTTACAGCATGTCCAATGAAAACTGTGTACACCTGACTCAGCATTTGTGCTTTAAACCATCAACATATACTCAAGTAATGGTTCTACATCAAACCGTGTAAGTTCTGCAAGAAAACTGAAATTCGTGCAAGTTGGATGGTTTATGACTCTATAATCTGATGTCAACTGACAAAGAAATGCCGCAAATAATACTCATTCCTTGGTACTCAACCTGAAAATACAGATGAATTACACTGCCTAAAACAGCTTCCATTTGAGTACTTTTGTTAGGAAATTTAGTTCAAAAGCCAAATCAGAATAATTTAAGAGTTTTCTGAAGTCTGGTGGATATTACAACTAGAACCTGCTGACATAATTTCAGAGAATCTGGAGCATACTAACAATGTGGCTTCTTCCTTCAAACCTAAGTTAAACTTCAGTATTCAGAAAACTTATCAAAAATTGTTTACAAAACATTCAATTATTTATACCATGAACATGGATGCTGGTGGAGGGTTGGGGCAAACCAGGCATCTGCCTCCTCCCAAATATTTAGAATAACAAAAACATATAAAAAGGTTATATACCAAATATTAAATGCTGAACACAGTTTGTGGCGTTACCTATATTTCAATATGTAGGGGAACAATTCTGGGGCAACCATATTCTTCAGAGGCTTGAAGGTTAAGTCTGTGGATAAAATTCCTGGTTTTCCCCAGAAAACTCTGGTGGCTCCCATGCATGGAAGCCAAGTTAGGTCAGTTAGCAAAGAGACAGGGGGTGGACTAAGTGCCTGATTATCAATTTTTAGGAGTAAAATTTGAGAATTTTCTCTTCCTTGCTACAAACAGAATGGGGCTCAGCCTTTGCTTCTGTTTTCAAAATGCTTGATATGAGGCTGATGTAATGCCAGCTTCATATGAGAAAAATGCATTGGCCAACTGGTATTTATAATGGAGACGTATTTTTCATGTGAGGCATGAACTAAATCCTGAAGAAGAAATTTATTCTTCTTAGGGCTAACACCCTTACAACCCACTTCATTTCCCATAAAATAAAATCAGTCTATAAACTATATGACCAGACCCCATATTCTGTCCAATTAAACTGACACTGCTATCACTTAAAACTGTACCTAACAGCAACTTTATTAACAGAAATACTCTTCTTCAATAGGAGATAATGATCAGGTGCAAGTGAAATATACCACAAAGTAGCTGATAACCAGCTGCATCATATTTATTTCAAAAACTAAAATATCAGTATATGCACAATAGCACAAATTAAAACCAACTAAAGTAGTAAAATATAAAGAAAGATGTAACTCGATTCACTTGATATGGTTAGGGATGGAGGTAGATAGAATCACAGCGAATTTTTCACCTTGACTGGACATACAAAAGTAGCAACTCACATAACATGAAAATATCCACAGTATTTCCATAAGTATGTAGTCAGTCTTTGGTCTTAATCTGCTAGATACCAGTCAAGTTCCACAATAAAAATGCAGAGGAAAAGAACAAAGCTATTCCTAGGAATACAATTCCTCTTACATTCTACATTATATTAACTGATTCCAGTACACTTACACTTGAGAGACATTGTGATCTTCAGCAAGCACCACTCTCTCTCTTTCAAATAGTTTTAGGTTCCATCCCCAGTCACATATCCAGTGCTCAGATCTATGCTGGGAATGCAGAGAATATGCAGTTTCAATATGACAACAGGCTATAGACCTTACTGCTAGTTACTATCCAATGACCAAAGTAGCATAATTCACTCCACAAGTGCAAACATCACGCACAAATTCCTACACTTGTCAGTCAGAGGCTGGAACAGTTGAAGATACAACTGAAGGTGTCTGTCACATGCAAAAAAGTAAACAATTCCCTCTTCAGAACAGCATTAGCAGGCTGCATGAATGTGCACATCCCTTGTGATTCAATTACCTTGGTTGTGAGGGTCCAAGCACATCCCTTGTGATTCAATTACCTCAGTAGTGGGTGTTCAATTTTTGTTAAACAATACAAACATCCCCCACTGCCGGCTGCTCTATTCAGAGTCACAGTCAACACCATCATAACAAGCACAAACAATTTTTTTTTAAAAAAGTATGCAGTTTTTGTGGATAATCTTTTATACTACAGAAAATATTAATGAATGTTTATGACACACAGTATATGCCAATTAACATGTTTGAACACATTACTAGTAGTACAGACTACATTAAAATATATAAGCTCTAATTCAAAATGCTCCATACTAATGACAAGAGGTTTTAGTAAGCTCTTCACTTGACGCACTCACAGAATTTCCCTTTCTACTATCCAGAAATATATTCCAAGTGGAAGCAGATGAATGATTTCTTTTAACAGCAACTGAGTCAGCCATTTCTAGTTGGAAAAATTTAAAATAAAGTATCATATCTAATTTTCTACTTCCATTCATGAAAATATATTTGAACCATGAATCAAAGTGATGATCAACATGAATATGTAAATCTTTCATACATGAGAGGCTGGAAGAAAACGAAGAGCATGTGTAGTCTACTATCTCCTGTGGCTTCCAGATAAGATTTCACACCTAGGCAAGATTCATTGCGAAATGGTCATCCAAGATATACCATCTGAAAGTTCCTTCATTCATAATTTAGCATAGCAGATAATTCAGGAAAAAATAATTACAAATATGGGTTCAAACTACCCATGAAATGTCTAAGTATAACACAGTCCACTGATAATGCAACAAATTGTTCCTTTTTCTTCCACCTATACTTTAACACATGTTTCGGCCTTAGATGGCCATCTTCAGGTGTCTTAATATATTAAAACTGCTACACTGCATTAATATGCAGTAAAATTACACGCTGTGGTGCACTTAATAAAATAAATTAAAATGTTCATTACTTTGGTGAAATTCTATTCCACCTCAAAAGGGGTATCATCCATTTGTTTACAACTACATGTTTCTCTCCATGTGTTTTATTGCAGCAGCTTGTTTTTATGTTCATTAGCCCACTGTGTTACATCTGCAATCTGCCAGTGCACTAGGGATGCTGCCAGAGGGAACAACAAACAAGCAAGGGGCATATTACAGACTGCAGATGTAACAGAATTGGCTAATGAACATAAAAACAAGCTGCTGCAACAAAACACCTGGAGAAAAACATAAGAGTTCTAAACAAATGGACGGTACCCCTTGTGAGGTGGAATAGAATTTCACCAAAGTAATGAAGATGTTAACAGGAAATTTTAATGGATTTTATTTTATTGTATTAAGTGCACTAGAGCGGGTGATTTTAGCACATATTAATGCAGTGTAGCAGTTTTAATATATTAAGACACCTGAAGATGGCCATCTAAGGCCGAAACACGTCGTGTTAAAGTATAGGTGGTAGAAAAAGGAACAATCTGTTGCATTACTGATGGACTGTGTTATACATAAATGTTTTAATATGGCTTGCAACAGGATGCTTAAATACAGAATTACCCATGAAACATTTTAAACACATTTTAAATATGGAAATTTGATGTCTGATGTGCTAAATTTTATGAAGCAAAACATGCTAAGGGGGGATAACTACATAGTAGGCATGTGGAAGAATGACTTTTCAGTTTGAGACAAGAATCTGGAATAGTTTTGAGAACAGGGATTAGAATTTTCTCTACTTGACCAACATTTTCAACACAAAATGAATTTATAAAACTAGCCATATTTTTCACAGTGCAAGATAGGTAAGAAAAAACAGTTATATGAAGATCCTCAAAGGCTGAGACTGAAAAATAAACATCTGAATTGCATACGTGTACAATACACACACACACACACGGGGTAGTACAGTCACCTGCTCTGAAGGTAATTTCCAGGCTTCCAAACATTTTTGCTCAAAACTTCTACACAAAGGAAAAGGTGGAATGGACCGCCCAGGATAGCAAGGATGCCACCGTAAATTCACTTTTAAAAACTCTAAACTTCAAACTTTTATATATATGTATGAAAATACAAAAACATATCTATCTTTATTTCTTTCAAGAACAGCATCTCTTTAAACAAAACAGAATGTAATAACTGCTTTATATTAAGTCAAAAATGTAAAACTGTTTTCACAATTTGAGAATATTTACTGACCAAGATTATAGGTTCATACCAAACTTATAGTCCTGATTCAGACACAATATCTTTGTAACATTTGCTGGTGCAAGTCTGTACATGCAAGCCACATCCAAAGCAATGCTGCTGAAAATGCCACATAACATATTGGATGTTTGTACTCATATTTATCACAAGAAAAACTAAATTAACTGAACCACTAAGTACAAAATGAATATATGAGAGTAAAAAAAAAGTCTTCTTAACTGAACTTAATAAAAAAAGAAAGCATTTTCTTATATTCCTGTTCAGCTGCAACTCCAGTTCAAATCCTGACAGGAAACAAATACATCAGCACTGCTGTAAAGTAGCTGAAGACCCTTGTCCTGTGTGCTACAGAAAATACAGAAGGCCTTGCAGTCTTGAGCTTGGAGGCTGGCGAATGGCCTGGCCCACCAGGTATGCCAACTTGTGGGCATACTGACACGGTGCAGGCACTCGTACAGTTCCCTTGAACATCAAAAACGACTCAGTTACACAATACTAGTTTTATATATTTTTAAATTAATTGAATATTCTATGTAACACTTTCCCATTTACACAAAAATCATCTAATCTCACCAGTCAAAACTAGATGGAAGAATAACAATCCAGATTTTCACATAATCCAATGAATAATGAGCTCATTATTTCATGAAACAGAACCTATCATCAACTTATACAGATTATAACAGCTATAAACAAACTTCAGTCTGTTCGATGTCATATACACATTGTTTTGCTATGCTACATGCTTCCACAATTTTAGCAAATAACATATCAACATCACTAATTTATCTGCAATAATCAATGCAACACTTTCTGCTTTGCTGCACTTCTGTTCAATATGTTTCAAAACAAAAGACCAATGATTCACTACTTGATATATACAAGAAATACTATGACTGCAGATATTTCTCTAAAATGATTATATATATATATATATAGGAAACAACAATGGCTTCAGTATTAACACAAGATGTACCCACAATAAACTTTTCCCTGTGCAAAATTAGCACTATTCACTGCATGTTCAAAACACTTACCTCTGCATAAATCACTAAAATATTTAGAGGCATATGGTAGAAGTACCCTATCACGTAAGACAAGAAAATGAAAGTTGTTTCCACTATAACAGTAAGGTATGAGGTTAAAGCAATCCTTGGGCTTAATAATTAAGCACCATGTTGAGAAAACATGTGGAGGTACAGCTCCACCATTCCTAACCTTGACACTATACAGAGATGGGTGGTCAGTTTCACACCTCAGTCCTGGCAAAACAGCCCCTGGTACCCCCTGCACGTGAGGCAAATCAGGCACCAGAGCCAGTCTGGACATTATGGAGAAGAGAAAACTTGTGCCTCTCTAGGGAAGTGATATGGCCGTCCAAGGGCTTCCAACCCTAGGATCGAGTCCCGGCCAACACACTATTGACATGCATCGTTAGTTAATAGAAACCGGATTCGGT